TGTATTAGCCTACATGACACCCATGTCTGGTTCTTGTCTAAAAAGATGGGTTTATGATGTTTGTAGTTAATAGATTTGGCTGCTTTTTGCCTTACCCTGGAGTTGGTTCACCCTCCGCCTATGATATTTGTACTACATAAATCCATCATTAGGGTGTTTTAGATGTTAATTGATGGATGGAGTCATGTGGATTAGTTGTGATGTTTTTATCATCTGTGTGTACTCTCATTCTCATAGCACCCATTCACTGCAGAGGATCCACTTGTGAGCAAGTGATGGAGTGTTAAATTTCTCCAAATCTGTTTCAATGAACAAACAAACTCATCTACATCTTGGATGGATGGTGAGTAAATATCCAGAAAATGTTCATCTTGGGGTGAACTTTTTGAGGTATTCCTGCTGAAAACGCCATCTTTCCATGATGGTTCAGCCTGATTTAGTGCTGGTCTAGCTGTTTGCCATTATGGTTTCCAACAAAACTGAAGCTGTTGGTCAAGCTACTCTTCCTGGTTTATCTAGCTAAAAATCCTGGAGGTGACACCAACACATCGGCACTTAAAACAAGTATTTGCTGCTGTCCTGTATTGAGTCCCTGCTCCCATTCAGTCAGAAAGCAGTTTTCTCTCTCTCTGCTGCAGCACTAATGAACAAAGCTCACGCTTTACTCAGTGAGCTGGCATTAACTAGTAGATTCGATCAGCAAAAATGAAGTTCTCTTCCCTTTAAGTTTGGTAAAGCAGATTTTCTTAAACTTGAAAAAAGATGAATAATAGCTTGTGATTGATATATTCTTTCCCATTCTGAGACATCTTTAGAAACACATGGTATATGGCATACATACTATATGTGAAAAATTACTGATTTGTATATATTTTTCAGCCTGTTCTGATTGATGCCTTGGGTTGTGACGTCCAAATCAGTAGAATTTACATTAATGTACAATGGCTCGGACATGACAGAAATTAAGAGTGTGTGGGAATCCATCTGCACAGGAAGAAAGGAGAAAAGCGAGAGAGTATCCTACCCACCCACACACACAAGTGAAAGAGGCACTGGTCCAAACTCAACCCTGGATGAAAAGATTAATAGTGCAGGCGAAAGAAGGGGAATGAGAACTTTTACACGCTTGACTGAGAGTGAAGCGATTGTGCTGATGCAGTAGATGATGGGAGAGAAGGAGGAGAAAAGGGAAGTGGGGGAGGAAGAGTGAACGATAGATTTGTGCATTAGCATTTTAAATAGTTTGGAGAGGTAGAGACCCAAAATTAGCTTTGTGTGTGTGTGTGT